CACAAGGTGAGGGCCACCGCCGAGGCCTGAACAGGGAGCTCTGGGTACGCTGAGGGTGGGGGACCAATGCTGCCCCTCGGGGTGGGGGGCTTCACGGCAGGTGACACTGAAGGTGGGTAGGACTGCGGGTGAAGGAGGAAGAGTGGTCCCGGCTGGGGGGGCTGGGGGCCAGCGAGGCCCAGAGTGGGGAGCTGGCTCTAGGAATGGTAAGCAGAGTCGACCAGTGTGGCCGGAACGAAACGGCTCTGCTGACACTGAGGCTGGTTGTTAGATGTTTGGGGGGGGGCAGGGCAGGGCTCAAATAACAGAGAGGGAGGTTTTTCCACAATAACAGCTCCCAGTTCTGAGAACTCCTTGTGCCTAGAATGTGCTAAGCACAGTGTTATTCTTCAATCCTTTGCAACCCTAGGGGGTGGGCAAACAGCTCTCCCCATTTTATAGTGAGGCACAGAGAGGTTGAGTGACTAAGATAAGGTCACACAGCAAATGAGAGGCCAAAGCAGGGGTGAAGACAAATCCGCTTGACTTCCAGGCAGGTGGTCTTAGCCCTCAAGCTGCCCCACCTCCCCGGGCAGACACGCCACGCTGATCCACGAAGTGTGGCTCCCTGCTGTCCACCATCACGTCACCAGCCGTGGAGGAGCGAGGAGCGCCCAGCACACGCCTCTCCGTTTCAGCAGGCTCTGCTTTTCCTGTCACTCTTGAAAGCAGGAACGCCTGTCCTTAACATTGTTAGCTGCTCGCTGGGGCATTCACAAATCAAGCTGGCGTTTCTATTTCACGAATATATTTGGGATTTTAATGACCTACAACAAGGGGGTCTGCTCAGCGGGGCCCTGTCACCCCTCCAAGGAACACAGACCCAGACAGAAGCCCGCAGATGGCAAAACGTGGACACCACTCAGAGCCACGCCAAGAGCCACGCACCTGACAGCAAATTAGAGTCCGAGTAAATCCCGCCACGCAGGTCCCCAGCCGGCGCCTGGTCTTACCTTACAAAGAGGGCCTTTATCAACTTTCAATCTCCTCTCCTCTGTCTGGAGGTGGCCCCTGGAAGGTGACTTTAAATGCTTTCCATGAGATCAATGAGCAGGGGAAAGGCAGGCTGTGAGTTTCAGATCTAACTTTCTTCTCTGTGGGCCTGGGGAAGGGGCTCACAGAGACCTTCTGAGGGGCTGGGTGACACCAGGACCGACCTGAGGCCAGTGCTGTCCCTGTCCCCACGCTGGGACCGTTGCACCAGACATCAGAGAAGCCAACGTGTCATTAAAAACAATGAGATTTTAGTGTTGCTTCTATTTGATGCTACCAAAAGAACACATGCCTTTTTTGCAAAAAATTAAGGGTAAAAAGACAGAGAGAGCCATAAAAAAGAAGATAAAACCTCTCACGGTCCCACCACCCGGACATGAATTCAGAACGTTGCAGAGCCTCTGCCCTCGCTGGCCTCGCCACTGCCACTCAAACTCTGCAGCCCAGGCCGGTGATCGCCTCTTAAAGGTCCCTCCCCTCCATAAGCCTCCCAAAGCTCCCATCACACCGAGAGTCCACCCCAAACTCCTGTCCTGGGCCCACGGGGCCTGTGCAAACTGGCACCACCTCCCCAAACCCTCCTCCCTCAGCACTTCCCTTGACCTCTGTTCCCATCTCAGGGCCTTTGCAGCCGCCGTGGCCTCGCCCCGGAACGTTCCTCCCGACTGTGTCTCACTCTCATCCTCCATGCCTCGTCCAAGGCCACCTCCTCAGAGAGGCCTTCCGTGATTGCACTCAGTCAGCATCACCTGCCCCGGGCTGGTGCTCCACAGACGGCCCGCTTGCTGCTTCCTGTGCATCCATCCAGCCACTGTCTGCCCATCGCCAGAATGTGAGCAGCGCCCGTCCCTCTCCCCACTGTCACTCCGTTGCCTGGGACATGCCTGGCACACGGTGAGGTACACTGAATACGTGAGTGGCTATTTCATTCCCACCTTTTCTGTGTGCATGTGCTTTTGACATGACTAAGATCATACGTCAACACTGCTCAGGAACTCCGTGTGCCTTTACGCACAGTCTCTTCTACCGATCTCCCTGCACACGACCTCTAGGCTCCAGCCAAATGTCCCCGCTTCTCTGGGACCGACCCATGACTCCTACCACCACCCCAGGGGAGCCAGAATCTGGCAAACGCCAGTGCATAGAAGCAACAACATCTACACAGTACTTTACAGTCTACACAGCCGAACCATCTCCTCCATCCCAGCGGAGCCTCAAACCACTTCTGGAGGTGGACCGGGGAAGGGAAGCCTGCCCCCCCCCATTTAAAATAAGGCCACTGAAGCTCACAGAGGTCCCATGGCTGCCACAATCACCTGGGCAGGAAGTGGGCCAGGACCTCTGGACCCAAATGGCTCACGCCACACCTTCAGTCTGAATCAGAAATGATTCGCCGTAAGAACCACAGAGGCAAACAGAGGAGGCACCAAGAGCTCAGCTCCAGAGTCCGACTGCCTGGGCTTGAAGCCCAGCTCTGCCACTTCGAAGCTGTGTGACCCTGGGCCAGTCACTACACTTCTCTGGGCCTCAGTTTTCTTCTCTGTAAAATGGGGGTGACAGTAGTCCTGCCTCATTCTGATGTCAGAATTGAATGATTTAATAGTACATAAAAGGGGCACAGAATGGCGTAAAAGATCAGGGGCCACATACACTCAACAAACACCAGGTCTCCATACACACCTGTACGAGTGCACCTACATGGACGTAATGGGTGCACAGCCTGCCTCCTAGCCACGATGACCACACCCCCGGGGGCCTAAACGGCCGACCCACAGAGGGGGCCTCACTCTGTGCAGTGGACTGCAGACAGATTTCCATAAGCCGGCTCCTACTGAAGTTTCTCATACACAAACCCCTCGCATTCAATCCAGGACAGAGAGTGGCTCCTGGGTCCCCAGTGTGAAGCCCCCACCCACACCCCACCCAAGTGACAAGCACCGACATGTGCAAACACACCAAGGCAGCAAAGGGGAGACACCGGGGGAAGGAGCCTTCTGTACAAGGAAGACCCTTTCTGAAGTTCACACTTCCCACCCCCAATAGCTCAGACAAGTAAACCGATCCAGCTCCAAGTACAAATGAGGAAGGGGCCCTAAGCTCCTGTGGACACTGTTCTGGCTCCTGCTAAGAGGTGGGCGGAGAGATCATCCTAAAGCACCCATCTCACTGTGCGGCCAGCCCCCCGTCCCCGCCCAGGACCCTGGTCAGGCCCCAACCCCCTTTCCAGGCCCAAACCCAACTCCAGCCACAACACATCACACCTCCCAGGTATCCACCAGCACATATTGGCCTCAGCTGTCCCCTCCGCCTGGTGGCACCCTTTCTGCACAAATTCCCAGCTCCTCCGTTGAGGCCCAGCCCAGAGTCAGCTTCTCCTAGAAACCTTCCCCTGCCCGGAGAAAGCTGTCGGTCAGTCCCTGCGCCCAGATCCCACCGCACCTGGAACCCACCCCGTGGCTCAGGCCAGCATCTGTCCACTCATTCACCCATGCTGAGGGTGGCACGTGGCCGGGCACATGGGGAACAGTCCCCGCCCTTCAGGACCTCAGTGCAGGGGCGGGGTGGGGGGCAGGCATCCTCTTCTGTCCAGGAGGGATCCAAACAGCACCCGCTCCAAATAGCTGCTCCCAAAATCCAGCAAGGCAGTGGCCATAAGGAGCCGGCCACACTGCGTCTGGCACACAGCAGGAGCCTGCACGACAGCGACTCCGTTATCTGCCTTGGACGTGGGCTCTTGGCTCAGCCAAGGGAGGCCCCCCATCTTCTGATAAGAAGCCAGGCTCAGAGAAGGTCCCCCCTCAGAGGCAGCCCAGACCCTGAGGCAGCACCGGGCAAGGCGAGAAGCCCAGGCAGGCCCGCCCTGCAGGAGCCCTGTCCCACCCCAGCCTTCCCAGGGTCCAGCCCAAAAGGGGCCCTTGACTAGAGTTTCCCATTTGAAAAACCAATACTGAAAGCTCTGAGCCTGCCAAGCGGAGGGGAAGGCCTTGTTTGTAAATATTTGTTTCGACTGGCAGAGGCGGGCCTCTCTCCTGGCCCCTCGGCTCACGCAGCTCCCAGCCAACTGCGCAGTGGGCCACCCCCGGGGAGGCGGCCCGTCTGGCAGGGGAGCGGGGCGCAGGGAGGCGGCCGCCTGCGCCCAGGCCTCCGAGACAGCAGCCAGTGCGCAGGGCCGCCCAGGGGCAGCCCATCTGTTCCCCACCCCCTGGGGCTGTGGAGACAACTCGAAGTGAGGTTGCTCTTGATTCCAAGCAAACAGTTTTTCCCAGGGGACGCCCAAGATCTATGTCTTTCTTATTTAGGAAGAAAATAAAAAGCCAAAGACAAAACCCTGGGGGTACGCTTGCAAATCAAGGCCCGACCACCCGGGACAGCTGGACAGTATTCGCTCCCTGTGCCAGCAGCTGCCCTCGGCAGGAGCCCACATCTGGTCCCCTAGGTCCCTGCTGTGGGCCACAGAGGCCCAGAGGGTCCCCTGACTGGGGAAGCCATCCTGATGGTGGTAGACAGCTGAGCCAGCTGGGTACCTGCCCTGGCATCACCATTCCCGGTCATGCATTCATTCACCTGTTCAGCCACTCATCTGGTCATTCATTCACTCACTCATTCATCCATTTTTTATTTAGCACCTACCTGTACCAGGCACTGGGGGCTGGACACACAAGTGGTCAAAGACACACCTGGGGCAAAATCCCTTTGGGAGGGGTTTCCTGGGCCAAAAATCCCCACAAACAAATGGCAAGTCACAGCTAAGACAAGGGCCACGGTAGGAGACGGCTGAGGTGTGACAGTGAGGGAGAGAGCTGTGACCGGGTCCGGAGGTCAGGGAAGGCCTCCTGGGGCAGGAGGTGGGGGACAGGCAGACAAAGACCGGGCAGGGGCAGTGGGCAGAGCAGGGAGGAAGGACCACAGGGCATGGGGTGGCCCAAGGCCTGGACGTTGGCAGAAGCCCACTCCTGCCCGGCACCTACCAAGCCACTCATTGAACTTCTTCACCTCGCTCGGGAGCCCCAGCTCCGTGAAGTCCCCGGCGTGGATCAGCACGTCGCCGTAGGGCATCTGGATAGGGTCTGTCCTCGAGTGGGTGTCAGACACACACACAAAGCGGGTGTAGCCAGGCGGCTTGGGGGCATCGTGAGGCACCGGGTCCACCCTACGGGGAGAGAAGACACTGTGGTCACGGGGCCACGGTACCGTGTGCATATCTGTGCTTTATAATATTGCCGGCAAGGTTTTTCACCCCCAAAAAGCTGTTTTCACCCCCTTGGGGCGCTCTTGACCCCAGTGAGAATACAAGGACTGACGTCCAGGGTCCTGTTGAAGGACACGAGTCCCCAGGGCTGTGCAGAGCGCAAGCAGCACCTAGGGGGGCCACCGGTGAAGGGGGGGACTTAGAAGAAACACGTGACATAAAGGCAGAAAGAGAAGCGGTAATTTTTCAGAACCGTGAGATGGTCTGATCGTCCCAAGAACACGGGCTTCACCTGGTGGGGGGGGGCTGGAACCAGAAGATGGAGCTTCAAACCCCAGCTCGGCCCCTTGTCACTAAGCTGTGGCCTTAAGCAAACGCTTGGCCCTAATCGGCCCTGGTTAGCTCGTCTGTGAAATGGAGCGGCCTCGCTATGCAAAAATACCCAGAAAATTCAAAAGAGCGGCGTGGATGTGAGTCCCCCGTTTCCAGGAGCCCCTAGCACCCTCCCTACCCACGGTGGGGGCACTGAGCACCGGGCGGGTATACCGGGGCGTAAGTGCAGGCCCGCTCCCTCCCCCAGCTCGGTGCCCCCCCACCACACTCCACCTCGCAGCTGAATGGTTTTGTGAGGCTCAAAACGCTTAAAAACAACGCAATGACATTTCAACGGGCGCCTCTCTCCAAATGAGTATGCCGCTCGAGGAGCTGGCTGTGTTTAAATCTAATTATGCGGCAAACCGAAAGCAGGACCATATCAGTTACATAAATACTTTTAAAGACATCTTTCTAATTACCCTTTTTTTTTTTCAGACAATATACTTCAAAGAAATTTAATTAACACCTTCCGAGAGACGTGGGTGCAGCGTGCTAACATGCAGGGCGCATGTGCCCGCTCAGCGCCACGGGCGCCCCGCCAGCCTCTCCCCACCACGGAGCCGCGACAGGAGGGCCACGCCGGGCCCTTCCCTGGGGCTGCTCAGCCCAGTGATCATTCCAGCAGGTCGGCGCTGGGCCAACCCGGGAAGGAAGGAAAGTTCCCTGGGTGAGTCCAGTGATGGCCAACAGGGGGGCCCCAGGAGGCCCTCCTCTCCCCTCTTCATTCGTTCATTCCTTCACTCACTTGTTCATTCAACACAGCACCTTCTGACCACCACCGGGTGCCAGCCCGTGGGCTCAATGCTGGGGCCACAGGCATGAACCATGCCCGGTCCCAGGCCAGGAGACCCCAGACTTGGCCCGTCAGTGACGACCAAGCCACCAGCGTTGATGGGGCAGTGGTGGGGTTGGAGGCCAGAGAAAGAGGTAGTGCTTGAGCTGGTCTGGAAGTTAAACTCTCCCTCTTAGTAATTCCAGCCACTCCTCTGTCCTCTGGATCCCTCCCCACTCTGC